ATGTGTTAATTTCATAAATTATCTTCTTCAGATATTACCTTCACTCTTAAGTGTAAGTTTTACAATATTAGGAATTCTATACATGCATTACATTTAATTAACATTACTCAATAATTGTATCGATTATGATTGAATTGGATTACATTATAGTATATTGCAATACAATATAACATGTGGTTGTTAACATTATTGTATGACATTTAGTTATAACATTATAGTATGGCTTAATAAATACATTATAGTATAACACAAATAGCAACTAGCTATTAAAAATTGCATACATAATTATTATATGTTATATGTCATTCAACAGTATAAATATTGAATATGTCAACTGATATAATTAAGTTAATATAATAAATTCCAGGCATTACCAAAATTCAACTCACAAGTCAGTTCTTTTAGCGCATGTGACAATTAGCTGTGTCCTTTCATATACATACATGCTATACTAATCTATCTTATTTCGTGAATGTCTCTTGAATGTATCAATAAAACAAATTAACAAAACAGTAGTATTCATAACAAATACTTCTTGTAACAATAGCTATTATACTAATATACGACATATAACTATAGAATTTGTAGTTAATATGCGACAGATATTACGCTTTACCCACTCTATGACAAATCATAATTATTAACACTGTGTATGTGTTAAAGCATTTAATCTTATCGCGTAGCACAATAACCTGTATATAGGTGTCACTTCATTAACAAGATGAATAATAAATACATATACATATACTATTCAAATTGAGTAATAAATATGTATACATATACTTTAACAGAATGAATAATAAATACATATGCATATACCTATATATATCAATATCATTAGTTGTCAGAATACGCTTGTTGTTATTTGTTACTATCATTCACTTACATTTATTCTGTAATTTGTACACATCTCTAAATGTCTGTTGAGGTGAGTGAGGTCCTTATTGCCCGGTCATTGGAAATTTCAGTTGATTGCTGTCTGACCGTCGATGAGCTAAATTCTATGTGTCCAAATACATGCTCCTCTTCCTTGTGTAGAGAGTCTTGAGGTGGATCCTAAGTCCTAGAACGATCCTCTCCCATAGACATAAGGTCTTGTAGCAGTATCAAGATCACATCAGCTTCTATTCCGGTTGTGCAATTCACTCCACTTATATCTTTCCCCTAGAATAAATAGTCTTGATAAATCTGCCGATCGATGACTGAGTCGATGACAAGTAAGTTCCTGTGTGCACTCAAATGAAGTCATCCCATTTGAGAAATGGATAGCATATGTTTATGCTTTGAGTAAGGTCATCTGTAAGATGCTCCTACTTAGCGAAAACCAACGTGCACTCAAAATGTTATTGTCCCACTTATGAGTGCATAGAGTATGGATAGATTGATAACAATATATCAACAAGAGGGCGAGCACTGATTGTCTATGCAGAAATCAACCAGTTGATTTCAGTTGCAGGGGCAAGAAATCTTCCATGGGACACTCCAGAATCATCCCTAGGATACACCAACCAATGATGCACTAAATGTCTAAGCAATATCATCTAGTTGATTCAAGTGCATGGTTACACCAACCATCGATGCTTAAGTTTGTAGAGAAGAGCGGACCGCACATGCATACAACTTTGTATCCCTTGGAAGATACGTCCTTTAATAAAGTTCCAAGTTGCACTTTAAAAAAATATATATATGTATATAGTCCCATTTTTTAAGTACATACTTGTTTATTGTTTGTAAATAATTTTATCTGTAGGGCACAAAATGGCTGTTAATAAAGAGAGCAACCGAGTAAATATGACTCATTGGTCATATGGTCACATCTACAATTGTCACACCTACCAGTGTGATTTGGAGAAGAGTGAGAAGAGGTGGCTAGTGAGCTAGTCGTGCAAATATATCCACAATTGCCAATTACCTAAAGTACACTTAGGTAGCGAGTTCCTAGCAATTAAAATGCACTGATATGCAGATAGTCCTAGGTTTATCTGCTATACCTTTACTAGTCCAGATATTGACCATCCATTGACTTAGTAGACACAGTTCTTAATATTTAGTAATGTTAGGTTATTCGCCTTTTAGTTTCATTGATTTCCTGTGAGCTTTACTTAACTTATATTTTGTGTATGGCAGATCTTTTATTAATAATAGTGAGGCATCAATAAATCGTGTAAGCTGGTACATTTGTTCTTAAATAATACATTTTGACTAGTTGCAAGAAAAAATCATGAGTATCCTTGTATTCAAAAATGGATTGCAATGAGGGTGGTGGCCAGTCCATATCATGTGAGTGTAGTAAGATTCTTAATGTTGATCTTTCTGCTTCTAGCATTGGGCATTTGTATATGTAGTGATCACTGCCGTCAATGCAATCGCAGATGGTGCATTTTGAATTTATTGCTCCCTTGAATCTGTGTAAGTACGAATGAAATCTTTCATGGTTTGAAAGAATTTGTGTTAGTTGACCGTTTGGAACGTACCATTTGTTAGTAAGAAATTTAGGAATGTCTTTGATGTAATCATGGGTAGTATTGTTACATGTATTCCAGTCGTTTTGCCAATCTTTTATCAGGTCCGACCATAACATCGATTTAATTGTTTGTATACTGATTTTGTTATAGGATATGTCCAATTCATCATTATGCGAAGCTTCCTTAGCCAATT